CTGCTTTTCTTAGGTGTCTTAAATTCAAGTTTATATCTATAATACATGGATAATAGTATAGGGAACTTTACACTATTCTTCCTTAAGAAATATCAAGTAATGTATATAAGTAGGTTATTTTATGTTCAGGTGGAACAACTGTTCTCAATCAAGAACAATGGTACGAATGTGGAGACACGTCTTGTGAACCAGCACCTATACAGGGCCTTGGAAGGTTCTAATTTTCAAATATTGGACATAACACGAATGAGCGAGTTTAGAGCTGATGCTCATCCATCTACAGCCGGCGGGAAAAGACACGATGACTGCATGCATTGGTGCTTGCCCGGACTTACCGATACTTGGAATGATTTGTTCATAGCTCAACTAAATACCCTTTAGTGTTTGAAATCTCTCTCTCTCTATATATATATATCAATCATTTAATATTACTTCTTATCTTTTAATCCTTCTATTTGTAGCTATATTATTTGCAATGGCAGTTTGTGATGCCGACGAGATTGCATTAGCATATCTCGACAAATATGATCGACTTCGGACTTTAGTGTGATTATTATATTATTTATTTTCAGTATTTATGTGTGTATTTATTTATGTTGTGTATTGGGCTTGTTTAATATTGGGCTTTTAAGTCTATGTATCAGGATTGGATATATAATTAACCGTAGGAACTTGTGGGAAGGCAGTTATCATATTTTTGGATTGAATTAGAAAGAACTGTTCTTCGTGGTTTTGTTCACAGTTTTCTCTCATCTCATGCTTCCTGTTACATCATGTGGTACCATAACCCACAGGTCCCAGGATCGAAACCTGGCTCTGATACCAAATGATGTAACAGGAAGCATGAGATGGGAGCAAACTGTGCACAAAACCACGAAGAACAGTTTTTTCTGATTCAATCTGAAAATATGATAAATGTCTTCCCACAAGTTCGGTTAATTATATATCCAATCCTAATACATAACTTGAAAGTCCAATATTAAACAAGTCCAATACACAACGTAAATAAATACATACATTAATACTGAAAATAAATAATATAATAATCAGACTAAAGTCCAAAGTCGATCATATTTGTTGAGATATGCTAATGCAATCTCGCATCAGTTTGCATCCCATTTTTTCTAGGCATTGAGATTTTGATCATGGATTTAATGGTGATATGTCTTCTCTTTATGATAAACGGTTGATTGGAGGACAAATACTTCATTTTCCTGTTTGCATTTGGTTTGAGTGTTAGGTTGAAGTTGCTCTATCTGAATAATAGATTATGAATTACAACTGAATATAACTCTACAGGTTTATTAATTTTTTAACTGATAAACTTATATTATATATGGAGTGTAAGCAAAGGGTACATTTCTTATTTCCACTTAATTAAATCAATAGGGAGGAAGAAAACATTCCTTGGGGAGACTATTGTTAAACCTCTTATTATCCTGGCAGTAATCATAATTGAGGTAATTAATCCTGACCCATTTAAGCAATCTTCTTTGGGCCCTCGTTAGAGAGCTGAATGTGCCGTTGTTCCACCAATTTATTGGGGTTACACTGCTGCAAGCCCTTACGCTCCCCTTCCATGTGCAGGCATCAAGCTTATAGTTTTGGAATGAGGCTAAAAATGGGCTGTAGGCCCAGTTAATTTTGTCTTTTCCACCATTTGTGGCCCAACTCTCTCCATTCCAAATTGAGGCCACGAGCATCATGGGCTTCAAACTTGGGAATGGGACCCCTCTATCGGCATGATTTCTAAATGTCCGTATCGGAATCCAATCCACCATAAATCTGTACGAATAAAATATAATTTTTATGCAAATTTATTGTATTATATGTATACGAGGGTAGGGTAAAATTAAATAAAACGAAATAACTTTGTATCAAAAGCTACTCCAAGGAGATTAGTTTAAAGTATTCTTATGAACTAATTAACCCGTTTTTCATCAGCTTTAATGACTTATACTTTTTTTCGATCAAGATTCATTGAACCAATAAGATGAACAGCTGCCTTCTCGAACCGCTTTTTATATAGTGTTTTTTTTCTGAAAATAATAGAGATTTTATAAAACGCACGAAGTGCAGAAAGAAAACCAGCCAACAACTAACGGATACAACCAATGGCTGAAAAGACTGGAAGGATAGATTCGAATATCGCTTAGAGCTTAACTTAGCAACCATAGAACTACAAACTCACAACACTACACAACAAAACACTTTGTGTTTCTATATAGTTTCTATAAGGCGTAATCTTTCATACAAAAATACCATTTTTTTATATTTTAAAATAAAAAAAGTGATTGAATTGTATAGGCATAGTTGATGATGGCTTACATAATTTGGTGAATGTTCCATAGAATGGAATAGGTGTGAAAATCTTTTGTTGGATCAAACCACAAATTGATCCTCTCCTCTCTATCATCAGATCCATTTGTATACACATTGGTTTGGAGAGTGTATTGCTTTCCAGCCAAATTGCCAAGAAACTCAAAGTCAACCTCATCTCTATTTGTTTGATTTTCAGAACTCAACTGCATTTTTCCAAGTATAACAATACAAGTGATTCAAGTATAACAAGTGATCATGTATAACTGCTTGATGAGGTATAATATACCCTTGTAATTTGAAACATAATTTAAAATGCACCAAAGAATAAAGCAATTTTACTATTTATTTAATATTAGGCAAAACTTTAGGAATTCAGTTTCCTTNACAACCCTTTTTAATAACATTGGTTTCTTCTCAACTTACATAAAATGCCACAACCGTGCCTGCTGAGTTCCCTGGAATCAACTTGATTTGCATGTCAAACTGACCAAACAAGAACATATCCTTCGAAGCAAAACCAGACCCTGATTTTTTTTAAAAAAATAAGTTTAATAAAATTAAATTTGTATAATTATTAAAAAAGAAATAAAATTAGAGAAAAAGAACCTGAATTCTTGTCAAGAATTAGTGTTCGGCTTTTGCCATCCGAAGATGTGTTTACATGGCTCGGGGACCATATCACATAGAAATCATTGTTATAATCCCCAGAAGAAACAACCGAAGCCGACAAACCTTGGATAAAAACGGTCAATAAAGTAGCGATTAAAATGAAAAGCTCGGAAAATTTATTCATCGTATATTTCTTGTACACAACATCTAAAGAATGAGAGTTTCAATACAAGATGACTATATATGTAGGGTATTGCATGAAGAAGATAAGTTCTATATATGGTTTTGTTTACCAAAGAATATCTTTGGTGGGAAGCAAAGAGATGTGAACAATATGTAGATTGTAATAAAGGGGCAAATTTGGTGAATTACCTCTAAGTGGTATGCTTTAGAGTTGTAAAACATCAAGAGAGAAGTTATAATAGAACATCTAATCTAATTAATAAGAATAGGGATAACAAAAATCACCCTAATTTTATTTTCAGAACCTTCAAGAAAATCTAGCTTGATGATTTTTTAAAATAGCAAAGACACAAAATCAATTAATTAAGAACCATATTATTATTATGAAAAGGAAATTAATGCACTTAAACCAATATTTTTCTACCTAACTCAAAAGTTTAAACAATAATAATATTGTGTTGAAATATTCCATGCCTTTGGCATACATAACTTATATGCTTTATCTTGTAAGGGGTTTTAATTAGGAACATTCCAATTCCAATTGCAGAAAGTGTGGGACAGTAAACTTGATAAGAAAACTCTTACTCAACTATTCTTTTCGTCTCATATGCTCTCAGCTATTATATTAAAGTCGGTTTAACCATTAATTAAGTCGATGTGTTCTTTACAAATATACATAAACTTTAAAATATTATACTTAAAAAAATGTATAATATTTAATGGCATAGATATGCATTTTTTTTATCATATATATTGTTGCGGGTCGATCCGCCTAATAATTAAGTTGTATCATATGTGAATTTGTGGTGTAGATAATTTTGGACAGCCATATCAAACACAATTAAATATACATTATACCCAATTAAAATCCAAATTGTTAATCGTGTAAATAATAATAATAAGATCAGATTCGGTGTCTTAGAATTTTGAAGCCACAATAATTATTGACGCCTTAAACGGGGACTATATAATTAAATGTAAACCCAACCCTCTGTCATAATCTACTAGCCTTTTGACTTTTGAGATATGAGTTCACTTTAGTACAATTGCAATTTCTACTATAAATATAAAAAAATGGAGTTACATTCATTTTGGACGCTTAGTCCTGAAGGTGAATATAGTATAAATGGCCTAAGTAATTATTGCTCAAATGGTTGTATCAAAATATCTATTCACCATTTTACGAGCCTATGCCAACTAGCTCAATGGTCTCTAAGTCATACCATATTTCTATTGGGAGTAAAACTCTTGTTAGGAATACCAAACATTGGAAAATCATATTTTTTAAAGAAGATATGCATATATATAAATTATAATGTTATATTCTATAACAACATAAAAATAGTATAATATTGAATTCTATTACAAAAGTATGACGACTTGATCATTTACTCAAACACAAAAAATTGTGTCCTTTTGGGTGGGGTTGCTTTATAAATATATAAATGTGAACCAATCATAATTTCTATATATAGGGGCGGATCAAATGCGCTCAGCTCTTAAAATGCGCCCAGCTCTTAAAATGCGGACAACTCTTAGCAACTACAGAGAACTAACCTAGCAACTATAGAGAACTTACCTAGCTACTACTAACTTAGCAACTACTAACTTAGCAACTACAAAGAACTAACCTAGCAACTACATAGAACTAACCTAACAACTACTAACCTAGCAACTACACAGAACTAATTTAGCAACTAAAAAGAACTAAACTACTAACTACAGAGAACTAACCTAGCAACTACATAGAACTAACCTAACAACTACTAACCTAGCAACTACAGAGAACTAATCTAGCAACTAGAGAGAACTAACCTACCAACTACAAAGAACTAACCTAGCAACTACAGACAACTAACCTAGCAAACTGCAGATAACTAGCCTAGCAACTACATAGAACTAACCTAGCAACTACATAGAACTAACCTAGTTGAAAGGTTAGTTGTCAACGGTCAACGCCGGGGTCAACGGGTCAAAATAATATATAAATAATTAAAATAATAAAAAGAAAAGAGTAAATCTTGGCCACATATGATGTACCAAATCTTGTGGCTAAAAATGAGTCTCATGTCCTCACTTTAAATAAATGAATGCATTGGAACCAATCTCTATATATACATACATATATATATATATATTAATACTTAAATAAATGTTTATATTTTTTAAAAATAGTATAACTAAAAGTATGATATCTCATATCTATATATATATAATAAGAATTAACATTTTTCAAAAATAGTAAGCAAAAAAATAGGGAACATTAATTGCATTCCATTTTATGTATGTTTTTTTAATTTTTTTAATAAAAAAATCAAGTAGCATTTAATGCTAGCATAAATCATGGGATTTGTTATATAGATGCATATTTAAATTTCAAACTTCAAACAAAACATGCCTAAATGTATTTTGAATTTTTTAGAGGAAAAATTTAACAAACACGTTAAAGATTTCATACAATACATATATTTATATATATTATCTCAACATATAGGTTAATTAGTTTCATATCTAAACAATATATAAACAAATATAATAATTTGTCGTACAATACAGAAAAATATATAAACAATATATATTATATACAAATATAATAACAATACAAACTATATATAAACAAATATAATAACTTGTCACGCGTATATTTCGTACAATACATATATTTATATATATTTTCTTAACATATAAGTTAATTAGTTTCATATTTAAATAATATATATTTTAGGAACTTAAAGATTCATAACATTACTGACCTCATGTATATTTATAATATATTGTCACATACATTTTACTACAATTGGTAACTTTTTTAAAATTATTTAAATAACTGGAGGTTGATTTGTAATTTAAATTTCAAATTCATTCAAACATTTAAAGGAAAGTATCATAAGCAGATTTTTTTGATACATTTCATTTTATCTCAACTTACATATAATCATTTTCGAATGATTTGTTTCTCATAACATCAGACAGAATTACTAATTGCATAGAATTCAATTATGATTTCGAATTTATATCACAGATGTTTAATAATTGCATAGAATTTCAAAGATGTTTATTTATTATAAAAAAAAAAATTCTAAAAAAATATTTGTGTATATTTTGTAAAATGTTTGTACAAAATGTTTTACTTTAAATTTATTTACATAATTTAAATTAATTACATTTATAAATAATATGAACATACATTAAATATTTTAATTATATAAAACAAAAAGAAGAAGAAGACTACATATATAACTTGCATAAATAATAATAATGAAATTATATTACAATAAATTTTATAATAAAATAATATAAGTATTATACGAGGAACAAGATTATGTAAAATTGTTATTTTTCTTATATCAAGGAATATATATATATATATATATAATGAAATCAAATTTATATTATTATAAACATGTGAGCGAGATAATATATTAATTAATTTACGAGTTTGCGCTACCAGACTCAGGTTTAATGTTTCGAAAAAAAAAATGACATTGATGAAAAGATGTAAAAAGATAAATATCAGACTCTATTATTTTTTAGGCCCTATGGTCCACTCATTCAATATCTCTCATGAATCGCACGAGCTATTTCACAGACAAACTCTGTGGAAATGACTCATTTAATACTTATGTCCCGTGCATCGCACGGGCTACGTACTAGTTGAATGTATGGAATTTTTGTTCAAAAATCAACTCATGTGACGGTTGACCATGTGTATCTTTTATTTTCGTATATATTTCCACTGAATTTCACTAAATTATAGGGAGAAAAGAGTGGAAGCAATATGAAATTTAAATCTAGATGGCGACAAAACAAATTGTTTCAAATTTCAAAAAAATAAGTATGAACAGCAAGTTGATGCTTTAATTTTTAAAAGGGTTTAGAAGTTTCACAAAATTCAGTTATATAATCATGTTGTTCGTTCTATTTTTTATTTATTTATTTATTTTCTAAAATTTATCTGGTCGTGATTGTCTTCAAAACGGGTAAAGTTTCGTTTAATTAAGCCTAACCATGTATAAAGTCAATAAATTTCAACAAGAGCCTCTTGTTATTTTTTAACCACAACTTAGGCGGGGAGATAAATTAGGCGAGCAGAAAAGGCCACGAAGCTGTATAGAGAGGTCACACGCACAAAGTGAGAGTGACCCATGTCGAGGAAAGTGGCATCTGCACATAAGATAATTATGTTCTCTCTTATTTATTTTTATTATTATGTTCGACTACGATTTTTATTTAAATTGAAGTAATGTTTAAACTCTAATTTCGAGTAGTCTGTGTATTGAATGATCTTTATTATTATTGATTAATTAAAACGCGGTATTTATTTTTGTTTGATAAATTTTTTCATGCTATTTACGTTTATCGTTTATGAATTACGAATGTTTGATTTGGTTAGACCGACTACGTTGAATATTCATATTTTAATTGCTAGATTCATGATTTAATTCGAAATAGTTCTTGTTCTTGTTTTGTATATAGTAAACTATGGTCATGCATTTCTAGGGTAGTGTGAACATAGGTTAAGTAATTCGAACGTACATATGTGCTGCTTGGACTAACCTATTTTCTTGGGAATTGATGCCGCTGATGCAAGAGCTTATTCTGAGTTGTCGACTAACTAGGTTTAGTTGAAGAGTTTATTTCGATTAAATATTGGAAAGAAAAAATTCGGTTACTAAAGCTTGTTGTTAGCTAGAGTTGGTAAATCATTAGCGATTTAAAGAAGGCGTTGAAATTAATTAATGATAGACTTAGATTGGGTGATAAGTGAACTGAGAACTGGATTTCCCTAATTTTTTTTTTTCATATTTATTTTTGTTTATAAAATCATTCCCCCCATTTTTATTGCTTTCTTAGATTATTTCAATTAATACGAAATTGTTACAATTTAATTCATACTCCTTGTGGGAGCGATCATTACTTGCCGCCACTCTAGTTAGTTGAGGTTTATTGAGGAAAACTTTATATATTTATTTTTTTCTACATTTTGGCCCCGTTGTCGGAGAGTGACGCAATTCAAGTGATTGTTATTAGTATTAATTAAATTAATTAATTAGGTTTGATATAGCCATATTGTGATATACCGGCCCAAGAACCTTCTACTCGACCTGACAACCGGCCAGATCGACCACGCGTCGATATGGTCCAATCGACATGATCAAGTCGACTTACGCAATGTCGATTCTTCACGGGATACGAAGAAAAGCTGAATCCATACAAGTCGACTGCCA